ACTGGGGACTAAGCCCACAACCCAGGCATCGTACCCTGACTGGGAATCGAACCCGGATCGCCTGGATCCTAGGTCGACGCTCAACCGCTGAGCCATGCCCGACCTGGCAAAAAATGTTTTTTAAAAAATTACTATAAAATTTAAAAAAGAAAAAACAAATAAATGTATTCCCCCTTTCTCTTCTTCCTAAGGGAAAAAGAAAAAACAAACAAACACATACACAATCATTAAAAAAAACCCAAAACCAAAACAAAACAAAACAAAACAAAATAAGAAAAAAAGACAATCAGGTGAGTTTCTTCTGGCAGCTTGTGTCGTCTGTGGCTCACTGTTTTGTGTGCTGATTTCCACTCTCCTGGGAGGTACTTGTGTATCAGCCAATGTCAGGAGCTGTCTAGGTTTGGCTCTGGTGTCCTTAGGTAGATGGTTAATCTGAAGCTCTCTGTGGACCACCTCCTCTTGTCAACTACTTTCCAACTTTGTAGTTGCCTGGTCTTACTCCAGAGTCTTCTGTAGAGTCTTTAGGGTGCAGGGTGGCTAGTGTAGCTCAGGGTATCACTCCCCTTACTTAGAGGTTTCGCTGTCAAGCACTCACTGAGCGGGAGTTGATCTCTGCTCCACCACCAGCTCTCAGTCCCTACCCTGTCCTCTGATTCTAGTTCCCCATGCTCTGGCCTGCTGCAGTTCCAGAATCACTTCAGTCTGTTGCCTTTTCTGTATGGGCCGTTTCAGCAGCCTGGGCTGAGTGGGTTTGATTAAAGAACATTCCAGTGAGCTCTTTGCCTGCCCAGCCCCCAGCAGGGATTTTCATCATTTCCTCCAGTTCCCAAACAATAGTCCCTGAGAGTCTTATTCCTGTAAAGCCCTCCTGGGAACCCTCAGGACTGTGCCCTGCGGGGGTGTCTGGGGCCTCAGTGAGCAGGACCCCGGGGCCCCTTTCCTGTTGGGGGCGGTGCTCCTGGCTGCAGGAGAGGCAGGCGGGCCCCGCCCCTCCCTGCCCAGCTCTGATTGGCTGGTCGCACCAGGGGGCCCCTCAAACAGTCTGTCCGCCCAATGCAGGCTGGGAAGGTGGGAGCCAATTCCAATCAGAACTCAAAAAGGCACAAAGCAATGCACAGGCAGAGAGTCTGCCCTACAGGGTCCCACATGCCAGGCCCCCAGCGGGAGGGGACCCAAAGTCAGCTCCATGCAGCTCCCCACACCGCTGGACTCAGTAAAGTTGGGGTGGCTCCACGCGCCACCTGGGCACCCTCAGGGCTGGTCACAAATCCTAGACGCTCCCCACTGGGAGCTCAGGGCCACCACAGCACCCCTCAGGTCTGGTCACAGATCCCAGCCTCTTGGCACCGGGAGCTCAGGGCAGGAGGGCTCTCCTCCCCTCCCCCACGCCACACAGATTCAGTGCTTTCTGGGGCTCAACACAATGCCCCACAGGGAGCCAGAGGGTCCCTGTATGCAGCTGCTCAGCACAGTCCTCTGGTCCCTTACTACTCAGGTGCCACACGCTTTGGGACAGCCTTTCCTATGGTCGGCATCTTGAGCATTAGATGCTGGTCGCACCCGCCACAAGCAGCTTTGTTTCCTAGGAAGGCACTGTCCCCTCCTCGTGGACTCACTGCTTCCCTGGGTCCCTCTGCCTACCATGCGGGGCGCTCCTTCCCCTCTCCTCCACTCCAGGTGTGAGATCCCCACTTTTGGAGGCCAGTCCACACTCCAAGGGGAGGGGAGGGAGCTTTGCAGCCTCCAAGCCTCGGAGCCCAGCACTGGTGTCAGGGGGGATCCCCCTTTCTACACCCCCCTCTCTTACCGGACTCTATGATATTTCTTCAATGCTCTCTACTCGCACTCCGTCCACTCAGGTATGTTTTTCTGGTTTTTCCAAGCTGGCTACATAGTATTTTAGGAGTAAATGGAGTCTGTGGCTGGGAGCGGGGGCCTCTGCTGCTTCTCACAGTGCCGCCATCTTCCCTTTTGGGCCATCTTTTAAAATGCAAGTTTCTGGGAGGTAGTCCTTATTGAAAGAAAAGCAAAACAAGAACAACACCACCTTAGTCATCAATTAAATAACCATATTTCAGGGTTTCCTTTTTATTTTTCTATTTTTAAAATATATTTTTATTGATTTCAGAGAGAAGAAGAGAGAGAGAGAGATAGAAACATCAATGATGAGAGAGTTGTTATCGATTGGCTGCCTCCTACACACCCCTGAGGGGGATCGAGCCCAAAACCCAGGCATGTGCCCTGACCAGGAATCAGACCATCATCCCCTGGATCCTAGGTCAATGCTCAACCACTGAGCCATGCCCAGCCGGGCCCTTTTTAAATTAGTGAATTTTAATTAAAGTTACTGAATATTTAGATATTTTGAAATCACATGAAATACTAAAACACTGATTGCTAGACAGTCTTAAGTTTCTCACCTGCTTTTTTTTTATGCCTTCAGGAACATGTTTATTGTGTTTGAGATGACATATCAGATGCTCTCTGAGCTACAAAGAGTAAAAGGAAATCCTCTCATTACAAACTGAAAAACGTAAAATGTACAACATTTTTCATAGCAGCATTAACCACATACTCAGAAATAGATCTGGGTTTAATACAAATGACATAATTCCTAGTCATCCATAGCAACTTTTATAACTTATACAGATAATGAATTAGGCTAAAATGCACTATAATATCTGGTAGGCTTCAGGACCAGTATCCTTAGTACATCACAAAATACATTTTGATATCCCAAAGAAGCAAGACTTGCAAGTAGGCATTTTAAACATAACTAATCTACAGCTACAAAGTTCTACTATTGATAGCATTTACCTTTTTGGGGCGTCTCCCCGTCTCCACAGGATAAAAGCAGAGAGTAGAATCAGTATAACATATACACAGAAGTCTACATTGTAAAGGCTTTTATAAAGATTTGCAGCCCAGCCTGGCGTGGCTCAGCGGTTGAGTGTCAACCTAGGACCCAGGTGATTGGGGTTCCATTCCCGGTCAGGGCACATGCCCAGGTTGCGGACTCAATCCCTGGTGGGGGGCGAGCAGGAGGCAACCAATCAATGACTCTCTCATCATTGATGTTTCTATCTCTCCCTCTCCCTTCCTCTCTCTGAAATCAATAAAGATATATTAAAAAAAAAAAAAAAAAGTTTTGCAGCACAGTGAGAAGATGCCTTCTGCTCCTTCACACTGCATACAAATTATGTGAATTATGTCACATATCTCTTGGTCCACTGTCTGGCTATCCTGTCATGTTCTGCTCTGTTGGTTAAATACTGAGTGGCTATGCTTCCAACCAGAGGATCTGCAGGGTTGCAGTCTGTCAAAAGAGAACAAATTGACAGCAAAACCTTTGAAACAGTCAAAGCATGACTCCAGTTGTCTTCGATAATGTCCAGACAGATGACTCCCTGACTACTGATGTTGCAGTGATAGATTCTGGTGGCTTAAATGGATAATCGGATGAAAATGTGATATCCAGAAAAAACACCTTCATATGCAGAACTTGGTGGACCAAGTATAAATGTTATCTCCTTTTGGCCCAGCACTGCAGTGAGGAGGAGGATCCGGGTGGTTTCACTAGCTCCTTCTGAATTCTTTTACCACTAGTGGATAACTTAGCAGTGGTTTTGCTAGAGTTTGGTGTTTTTCTTCTGCTGGGTGGCAGAAGGTTTTCTTTCTTCTTGTTTTTCAGGCTCTGGAGAGGCTGGGTCTCGCTGGTCTGCATCTGAACTAGCACTGCTGGTGCTGGGGCTCTCATCATTGGACCTTTGCCTGTCATTGGGCATCTTGATGAAGTTAGTACTTGGAAAACGTGGCCACCCACCCGACCAGCTGGGGGGCCACTAAGGTGTAGGGGAGGGAGAGAGATAAAAACCCTTCCTTCCCTCTCATCTACTTTTGTCTTTTCATTGCAGAACGTCCATAAAGTAGATTTGGAGATATTGATGTAATCGCTTGTGCTTTGTTGAAGGTGTGTTTCTTGAAAGTGAGAATGTGTTTAAAATGTGTTCATAAACCTTAATCTAAGGAATGCTGGTCATGTATGCTGTTATCATTGGAAATTGAGGCTTCTAAGAGTTAAAAGTTCAAGTTAAGTTGGAAGAAATTATATGGTTGTGATAATAGAAGGCATGAGGTATGAAGATTCATTTTTGAGGGAAAAGGAAGAAAGTAAGTTATTCTAAGGACAGTTATTTCTAAGTGGGTAAGAAGGTTTGTGAAAGTTGTAGAAAGGTTTGTAAAATGTTGTGAAGGTTATAAAAGTTTGTGAAAGTTTTTAAGTTTATATAAAAAAATTCTTGCATCTTCTCTACAAAAAGTAATAATTTGGATTACATATATGGTCTTTAGGTATTAGTATTCATGTGTACAGTCTTTACATGTTTTTCTGTGTGTTATATGTGGTGTGTTTTCTGCCTCTGGATGGCATTACTAAAGGGTGATATTTTATTGGCCTAAAAAGATTAATTATTTATATAAATTAAGCAGAATTCTGTGGTCTGGACAAAATATTTAATCTTAAAACTGGTTTAAGTTTGATTAATGTCTTTTAGAGTTATTACCATAAAATATATGTTTGTTTTTACCTAGATTTACAAAGAGTTTAAGATATAACCTTTTGGTTAAATATATTTGACAACCTTCCCAAAATTCAAGTTTTAGGAGACTTTTAACTGAGAGATGACTTCGAGTCATTCCAATGGGCCCTGGAATACCTCAGGGATTTATTCTCTCTTTTTATAAAAGAAATGTTTTAGAAATTTCATTCTGCTCTAGAAAGGAACTTGCAAAGATTCAGAGCCAAGTTCAAACAGGAAACTCTCAGGGGTAGCAGGTGTCTAGTCAGTGACACTGGGCAAGCCAAGAGTGATGGTTCCCTGTGGGGGTGTCAAGCAGTGGTACTTCAGACATTGGGAATCTATGAATTATTTCCAGTGCTCAATATACACTTCCAATAAGCCATGTACAACATTTTAAAAATCTTACATATTATTTGTTCTTTAATTTTTTTTTAAACCTCGCCTGAGGATATTTTTTCCATTGCTTTTCAGAGAGAGTGGAAGTGGGGAGAGGGGAAGAGGGAGAGAGAGAGAGGGAAAGAGAGAGAGAGAGAAACATCGATGTGAGACACATCAATTGGCTGCCTCCCACACGCTCCCCAACCAGGACAGGGGATTGAGCATGCAACGGAGCTATATGCCCTTGGCTGGAATCAAACCTGGGACCCTTCAGTCTGCAGGCCCGCTCTAACCACTGAGACAAACCAGCCAGGGCAAAAATAAACCCAGCCCAGGCGAGTGTTGCTCAGTGGTTAGAGCACCAGCTCATGCACCAAAGGGTTATGGGTTCGATTCCTGGTGGAGAGCATATGCCTAGGTTGCAGGTATGAGCCCCAGCCCCCGTTCACTTGGGGCGCATGCAGGAGGCAACCAGTTGATGTGTCTCTCTAACATTGCTGTTCCTCTCTCTCTCTCCTTCCCTCCCTTCCATTCTCTCTATAAAGCAATGGAAAAAATATGGGTGAGGATTAACAACAACAAAAAGAATAAACCCAGCCACACCACAATCTCCTGTGCATGGATCCTTGACATGCTTTTCTCAAGATTCCGTGGAAGCCCGGCCGGGCGTGGCTCAGCGGTTGAGCATTGACCTAGGATCCAGGCGATCGGGGTTAGATTCCTGGTCAGGGTACATGCCTGGGTTGCCGGCTCAATCCCCAGTTGGGCGTGTGCAGGAGGCAGCTAATCAATGACTCTGTCATCATTGATGTTCCTATCTCTCTATCCCTCTTCCTTCCTCTCTCTGAAATCAATAAAGATATATTAAAAAAAAAAAAAAAAAAAAGATCCCATGGAAGAGCCTAATTTCCCACCGACAACAACTTAACCATGGATGCAAGAGGCACCCTGGAATAGGGCCCAGAAGATGCAGCACCCTAATCCAATGCCCCGCCTGAAGATAGCAGAAAAGAAACTAATTTGCAGTAAGAATGAAACTCTGGTCCCTTTACAAAAGTGAGACAGCTAATCTGTAATACTGGGTGGTACTGAAATTGAAATTCTCAACATGACAAAGACTCTGAGATAGAAGAGGATTTAGATTTAGAGAATCCCAGGACAACTGTCAGCATGTCAGTAAGAATATACTGGCTTGTGTGTCCCTAAGTTGTGTTGGCCACTTCTAGACACAGGCCCAACTTATCTGCACTAGTGTCAGGCAGAAAACCAGAAGGGAGGCTGACTTCCAAAACCAAGTTCTCAGGATAGAAAATCAAAAGTGTAGGGAGAAACTCATCTGGTTTTATTGGTGATTCGCAGTAGAGTTTCACCAAGTGCAAGAGACTGTCTGTCTGGCAAAGTCTACAAACTCCCTCTCTGTGAGGTCAGTGTTGAACAACTCACTTATAAAACTGTATTAGTTGGCTTGGGCTATCATAACAAACATCATAGACTAGGTGACTAATAATGGAGTACATTTTATGAAATGTTGCTGATAAGAAAACTCTACTGTGTATAAGGATTATGGTTGTATGTTCATATGTGTACTGAGAGTCTTTTAGTATATCATTCTTTTCGATTCATAATACTTTTTCATCCTAATAGGCTTGCAGTTTTTACTCATATTTATTATACAGTAAGATCCATCCATGTTAATAGGTGTACATTTCCTTATGTCTAGCTATGGCTTAATACTATGGGATGTGCATCTTTCTATTTTTCTATTTGTTTATAGGAGGATGGAAATCTTGTGAAAATGTACTTATTAGATTTTTACATGGATTGATCAAAATGGGAATATGCAGAAAAAAAAATGTAGAGAAAGGAGGGGAAAACCCTACCTGTGGGAGTAGCCTAGTGGGTCCCAGTTCTCTCATATGCAGTTTGAACTTGTCCAGGATTAGATGACTGGAAAGTTCTACAGAGACCACTCTTTTCCACTTGACAGGTGTATTTTTAAAAAATTTATTTAATTATTGATGAGAGAGAGAGACAGAGAAACATCGATTTGTTGTTCCACTTATTTATGCATTCATTGGTTGAGTCTTGTATGTGCCCTGACTGGGGATCAAACCTGCAACATTGGTGGATTGGGACAATGCTGTAACAAAGTAAGCTATCTGACCAGGGCTGAATATTTATATATAGGTAGATGTTTACAAGTAAGCAGGGAAGTGGTATCCATGTGCCGAACTGTGTCTGGGTGTCCCTAGACTGAGCAGTCATGCATGGGTCACTTCTCATCTACGGATGTGGGTGGAGATGGTGAGACATGGGTTAGATAGGAGGTCAGATATGTTCCATGTCATGTACCATTTCCGGTCATGTTAGTGAATCTTCAGCCCCATCTGGCCTCAGGAGAGAGGACAGGGATCTGTTCCCGCTGTCTGCCCTGGTCCCAGAGAGGGAGAGTGGATGGATGGTGCTTCTGATTTGTGTTATGTGTTTGCTAACTTGGTACTAGATGAGTCCTTTCTCTTCTGGTGGTTTGTGAATCTGAGCCCCAGAACAACTTTTAGACACAGATTGACTATTTATGGATCTTAGCCCTTATGTAAGCATCTGTTCCTGAATGCAAGTCTCACACAGAAATACCAATTCCTAAATGCTGTGAGATCTGGCCTAGAATTGCTGAAACATTAGGTTTTGTCCTTTTACTGCTTTGTTTTTGTGTGTTTTTAAAATAAAATTCTTCTTCCACTAGCCCTGGCCAGATGGCTCAGTTGGTTGGAGTGTTGTTGTCCCATACACCAAAAAGTCTGTAGGTTCAATTTCCAGTCAGGGCACATACCTACCTTGTGGATTTGATCCCTGGTCAGGGCATGTATGGGAGGCAACTGATCAATGCTTCTCTGTCCCTCCTTCCCTCTCCCTCACTCTCCCTTCCTCTCTCTAAAAATCAATAAAAAAAATATCCTCAGGTGAGAGGAAAAAAATTCTATTCTTCCATTAAACTCTTCTCCATAGTATTCCATTCATGTCAGGATAATTTTACAGAGGAAGCAATTCTTGGGGTTCTTGTTTTTTTCCAGCTCAAGGCTATGTGTGTTGTCTTGTTCCAGGACTAGTGTGGCTGGGCCGAAAATGGAATTGTTTAAACATTTAGGCATGTTCAGGGTATGGTGTCAATGGAGTTTTAGGAAGGGGTGGCCCCTGTGGCCTTGGTGCTTAAATGCCTCTCCCATTTCCTTTCAAGGTTCTGCCCTTGATGGCCCCTCCCATTTCTTCTTTTTTTTTTTAAATATATATTTATTGATTTCAGAGAAAGGAAAGGAGAGGGAGAGAGAGAGATAGAAACATCAATGATGAGAGAGTCACCAATCGGCTGCCTCCTGCACGTCCCCGACAGGGGATTGAGCACACATCCTGGGCACGTGCCCTGACCAGGAACCGAACCCCGATCTCCTGGATCCTAGGTCAACTCTCAACCGCTGAGCCACGCCTGGCCAGTCAGCCCCTCCCATTTCTGAAAGACACAGGTGTTTACTACCTTTGCTATTCCTTCTGTGCAGAATGCTCTGCTTTCATAGCAGCTCGAATACTGTGGTGGGGGTTGACACTTATAGTCAGCCAGCCTGAGGATCGACCCCATGCATGAATGGGCCAATAGCAACCAGGACTCAATTACAACAGGAGGGCTTACATAAAGCACACAAGGGACATTCCAGGAGTACCCGGCTCAGGTGATCAAGGAGACTGTGCCACTGGATCCAACAGGACACCTACTATATAAGGCTACCCTATCAAGACTGGGAGACATAGCAGATCTATCTGGTGCACAGAAACAAACACAGAAGGGCAGCCAAAATAGAGAGACAAAGAAATATGCCCCAACTGAAAGAACAGGAGAAATCTCCAGAAAGAGCTAAATTAAATGGAGGCAAGCACTCTACCAGATACAGAGTTCAAATATGGTTATAAGGATGCTGAAGGAACTCACTGAGAACGTCAACAAGGAGATTACAAGCATAAAAACGGACATAGAAACCATAAAAAAAGAACCAGTCAGAAATGAAGAATGCAATATCTAAAATGAAGAATACGCTAGAAGGAATAAACAGCAGGTTAGATGAAGCAGAGGATCAAATGAGTGATTTGGAAGACACAGTACCCAATCAGAGCAGGAAAAAGAAAAAAATAATTTGAAAAAATGAAGATAGTCTAAGGGGACTTTGGGACAACATAAAGTGTAATGACATCGGCATCATAGAGGTACCATGATGAAAAGAGAGAGAACAAGGGATTGAGAACCTATTTGAACAAATAATGACTGAAAACTTTCCTGGCCTGGTGAATAAAAAGACACACAAGTTCAAGAAGTGCAGAGAGTCCCAAACAAGGTGAGCTCAAATAGGCCCACACCATGACACATCATAATCAAAATGCAAAAGGTTAAAGACAAAGAGAGACTCTTAAAAGCAGCAAGAGAAAGATAGTTACCTACAAGGGAGCTTCCATAAGACTGTCAGCTGAGCCCGGCCAGGCGTGGCTCAGCAGTTGAGCGTCGACCTAAGATCCAGGCAATCAGGGTTCGATTCCCGGTCAGGGCACATGCCCGGGTTGTGGGCTCAATCAATGACTCTCTCATCATTGATGTTTCTGTCTCTCTCTCTCTCTCCCTTTCCTTTCCTCTCTCTGAAATCAATAAAGTAAATTTAAAAAAAAAAAAAAAAAAGACTGTCAGCTGATTTCTCAACAGAAGCTTTGTAGGCCAGAAGGGGTTGGTATGAAATATTCAAAGTGATGAAAAGCAAGGATCTCAACCAAGACTACTATACCCAGCAAGGCTAGGATTTAAAATAGAAGGAGAAATAGAGAGCTTCCCAGACAAAAAACACAAACTAAAGGAGTTCTTTACCACCAAACCAGTATTCAAGAGATGTTAAAGGGTCTTCTTTAAGAAGAAAGAAAAAAAAAGGGGAGGAAAATAGTTATAAAGAATAAAATGGCAATAAATACATACCTATCAATAATCACTTTAAATGTAAATGACTTAAATGCTCCAATCAAAAGACACAGAACTGAATGGATAAGAAAGCAAGACCCATATATATGCTGTCTACAAGAGACCCACCTCAGAACAAAAGATGCACACAGCTAAAAGTAAAGGGATGGAAAAGATATTTCATGAAAATGAAAATTTTTTTAAAAGTTAGGGTACCAATACTTATTTCGGACAAAATAGTCTTCAAAACATCTATAATAAAAGACAAAGAAGGACACTACATCTTGATAAAGGGATCAATCCAACAAGAGGATATAACCCTTGTAAACATTTATGCACCCAACATAGCAGCACTTAGATATATAAAGCAAATTTTAATGAATATAAAAGGGGAGATAGACAGTGATACAGTCATACTAGGGGATTTTAACACCTCATTGACATCAATGGATAGATCTTCCAGACGGAAAATCAACAAGGAAACAGCGGCCTTAAGTGACACACTAGGTCAAATGAATTTAATTGATATTTTCAGAGTATTTCACCCCCAAATAGCAGAATATATATTCTTTTCAAGTACACATGAAACATTTTCTAGGAGAGACCACATGTTAGAACACAAAACAAGTCTCAATAAATTTAAGAAGTCTGAAATCATATCAAGCATCTTCTCTGACCATAATGGTAAGAAGCTAGAAATCAATCACAAGAAAAAAAACTGAAAAACACTTAAACACATGGAGTCTAAATAACATGTTACTAAACAATAAATGAGTTAACAATGAGATCAAGAAGAAATCAAAAGATACCTTGAAAAAAATGAAAATGAGAACACAACCCAAATCTGAGACACAGCAAAAGTAGTCCTAAGAGGGAAATTCATAGCATTTCAGGCCTAACTCAAGATACAAGAAAAATCTCAAATAAACAATACAGCCTTACACTTAAAAAAAAAACAAAAACCTAGAACAAGAACAACAAACAAAGCCCAAAGTGAGTAGAACAAAGGAAACAATAAAGATCAGAGCAGAAATAAACAAGGTAGAATCTAAAAATTAAAAAAAGTACAAAAGATTGAGGAAACCAAGAGCTGGTTCTTTGAAAAGATAAACAAGACTGAAAACCTTTAACCAGGCTCATTAAGAAAAAAAAGAGAGGACCCAAATAAATAAATCAGAAATAAAAGAGGGAAAGTAATACCTAACACCATAGAAATACAAAGGATTATAAAAAAACATTATAAATAACAATATGCCAACAAATTGGACAATGTGGAAGAAATGGATAAATTTCCATAAACATACACTCTCCCAACACTGAATAAAGAAGAAACAGAAAATCTGAACAGACTGATTACAACTAATGAAACTGAAGCAGAAGTCCCAAGAAACAAAAATCCTGGACCCGATGGCTTCACAGGTGAATTTTACCAAACATTCAAGGAACTAACAACTACTTCTCAAACAATTCCAAAAAGTTCAAGTAGAGGGAAGACTCCCAAGCTCATTTTACAAGGCAGCAGCATTATCCTAATTCCAAAACCAGATAAAGACAGTACGAAGAGCCCAGCCAGCATGGCTCAGCAGTTGAGCATATTGACCTATGATCTAGGAGATCTCGGTTCAATTCCCTGTCAGGGCACATGCCTGAGCTGCAGGCTCGATCCCCAGCAGAAGGAATGCAGGAGTCAGCCAATCAATGATTCTAATCATTGATGTTTTTTTCTCTCTCTCTCTCTCTCTCTCCTTCTCCTTTCCTCTCTCTGAAATCAATAAAGATATATTTAAAAAAGAAAAAAAGACAGTACAAGGAAAGAAAATTACAGGTCAAGATCCCTGATGAACATAGATGCTAAAATCCTCAACAAAATATTAGGCAACTGAATCCAGCAATACATTTTAAAAAATCATACACCATGATCAAATGGGATTTATTCCTTGGATGCAAGGTTGGTGCAATATCCACAAATCAATTAACATAATACACCATATAAACAAAATGAAGGATAAAAATTATATTATTATATCAATAGATGCAGAAAAAGCTTTTGACAAAATCCATCACACACTTATGATTAAAACTCTCAGCAAAGTGGGAATAGAGGGAACATACCTCATCATAATAAAGGCCACATTGGGGCATGAGCAAATAAATATCACTTCCATGACATGGTATGTTTGGATGACATTTTGTTCTTCGAACTCTCCAGATCTAAAGAGCTCCTAAAGTCATACATCTACAGTAGATATTAAATTTAGAATTAGAAAGTGGGTGCTAAGAAAAAACCTCATGAGCATAGTGTAGAAACCTTTAATTTACAGAGGAGGAATCTGAGAGGAAATTGGCCGATCTGAGGTCATACAGCTATTTATTAACAGAGATGAAACCTCAGCCGGCCCACTACCTGAAACCTCAAGTTAGAGGCAACACCACTTGCCGCTACCAAACGCTTCCATAAACTGACTCTGGAAACGGCGGTACCGCTACCGACGCTTCTTTCTGAACCAAGGTGCTGCCGAAAGGAGCGACGCAGGCGCTGTAAGACTCCGGCCTCCCGGAGCAGGGCCACGCATGCGCCATAAGGCACGTAAGACACGTCACGCTGGGGCGGTGGTGACGTAATGACAGAGGGGGCGTTGGTCAAAGAACGGAAGCCGGGAGGGACCCAGGGCAAAAGGGGACCAGGGCACGGCTTGTGTTTGGAGCCTTGGCCAGGCTGGGGTTCCGATGTGGTCCCCGGAGCGGGAGGCCCAAGTCCCGGCCGGGGGGGACCCGGCGGGCTTACTGCCCCCCGAGTGGGAGGAGGATGAGGAGCGCATGTCCTTCCTGTTCTCCGCGTTCAAAAGGAGTCGCGAGGTGAACAGCACCGACTGGGACAGCAAGATGGGCTTCTGGGCGCCGTTGGTGCTGAGCCACAGCCGCCGCCAAGGGGTGGTGCGCCTGCGTCTGCGGGACTTGCAGGAAGCTTTTCAGCGCAAGGGCAGCGTCCCGCTGGGGCTGGCCACGGTGCTGCAGGA